TTGCCTAGCATGCATGGAGCCCTAATCGTGACCCCCAGTACCACACAAACCAGGTGTGGCTGTGCCCATGTATAATCCCAGCAGTGGAAAAGTGGAGGCAGGAGGAGCAGAGGTTAAAGGTCATCCTCAGCTACCTGTAGAGTTGGAGACTAGATCCTATCTAAAAAGGGGAGATATGGAACTACAGAAATCACACTATCATTGTTACAGCCACCAGATACTTAGTTCTCCTTTAGAATATAAATGCCATAAAAAAAAAAAAAAGAGAGATTGGCATCATATTATTTACTTACTCCGTAGTACCTAAAAAACCGCCAGGGGCTAGAGATGGCTCAGCTCACAAGTGTCCATAACTGCAGTTCAAGAGGATTCAAAGCGGTCCTTCCACCTCTGAGAGCACCAGACACACACACACACACACACACACACACACACACACACACACGGGCACACACGGGCACACAGAAATATGTGTCCTATACACATCTGTTGAATTAATGAACTCATATTTTGGTTAGAAAACTGCAGCTCAGGAGTGGAGATTTACACCCAAGCCCTAAGTCCAAACGCAACTCAGAGCTCTCTCCTCAGAGCTAACATCTGAGTTTCACCACTAATGGGAATTTGGAAGTAATTTTCTAACACATAACTCCCGATACAGAAATAATTGTTTTCAATGTTCTCATCACTAAATTTTAATTAAGCCAATTAGGAAAAGAATGGAATGATCCTAAAAGAAATAGGATGTCTAATGATTCTGATACACATGATGTTTTAAAAACTTATCAGATGAGACAAAGGGAGGAACAATTTTCAATTTTGTATTAAATACAAAGAAACAGGGCAGAAAAATAGGCTTCGTCTCTCACATGAATGGAAATAAACTAAAAGGATTACTTTAACTATTATTAAGCCGGGAGCATATACAGATTATCCATGCACTTAAACTTATCTGTTCATTCATTACAGCAGATTCTGTGGTTCTATTTGATTCAAACTGCTACCATGTTCTTGAAAAGAATAAAAAGTTCTTCTCTGCTTGCCAGATATAATGGGTTCAGATGCCTTTAATCTTAGCACTTGGGAGGCAGCAGCAGGTGGGTCTCTATGAGTTCAAGTTCTATATAGTGAGTTCCAGGCCAGCCAGAGATACATAGTGAGATCTGTCTCATTAAAAAGGGAGGGAGGGAGGAAGAGGAGAATGGAAAAGAAGAAAAAATCTACACTTCTAAATATTCCAAATTACTCTGAAAATCTAAAGCTTCAAGCAACAATGTGTGGGGCTGGAAGGGTGGCCCAATGATTAAGTGCACCTGTGTTACTTCTGCAAAAGGCCTGGATTTGGTTTCAGCACCCACATAATGGCTCACAACCATACTTTAACTGATGACCTCTTCTGACCTCCATGGGCCCAAGCAGGCAAAACAGTCACACACATAACGTAAGAATAAATTAAAACAACAACAACAAAAACAAAAAATGTGCACCAAGCCCCAAACAGTGATACCCTCTCCCTCTACCAAACACTGAACCATACCAATTAAGCAAACATACCAATGTAACTCAGAGTATGAGCATTTGAAATTTGTGCTAGTCGATAACTACGCTGAAAGGAACAGTCTCAACTAAAACATGGAAAACAATAGTGTTCTTCATCCATCTCAGTGTCAAACTTTTCTTCAAGAAAAGAGCTTGCCAGTTTACTAAAGTGTTTTACCAGATTATCTCCTTACTTGATAAGAAACTCTAAGAGGACTAGAATTTAATCTTGTGGTTCACCACTCATCAAAATATAAGGATAATGAAACGAAAGCACAGTATTTTCTTTTGCCTTGGTGCAAGCAAATCTAAAAGACTATCCAGTCAGTCAGCTTACTGAGCTTTCCGCTTGGGAATCATCACTCAAAAGCACCAATTTTCCCATATACAAAACCTTTATCAGGGTCTTTCATGAACATTCCAGATGTTTCTATTTCCTCAGTTCTTATTTAATTCCCATAAACATTTCCTGGGAATACTCTATGTAAAAGACATTTTTTTTCACAGAACAGTCACACTGTTTTATTTTGGGTCACATCAACTCTGTGATGACATCTTCATTTTGCATGTAATTAAAGCTTAGAATAGCTAAATATCTTGTCCCTGGTTATAGACATGGTAGGCAAAGTCTGCATGTGAACTGTTTTCAGACTTTTCCACAATTATACCCTACCACTTTATTTGATAATTACCCAGCATCTTTGTAATATCTCTGTACCTGACTCTCTCTTCCATTTCTTCACGTGTCCTACACCTATGACTTTCAGAGCAATAAGGATGCTGAACTTTTAGTGTCCTTTAGGAGACTCATTCTAGCTGTTTACATGATAGAAGCATGGCCGGTTGTGAATTTGGGCTAGTTTTGAGGATTCTTAGATGATTTCACTTAAAATAGAGAGGATTCATGAAGACTTACTAGATGCTTTATGTCAGTTCATTTTGTCCTCAGAGTATCATGGGATCAGCACACTGTTCCTGCTGCTCAAATGAAAAAGCCAAGGACTACAGGCTCTCCCTTGACTACAGTTGCAAGCCAGTTTGTGAAGAACCAGGCCTGCAAAGCCAGGCTACCTTGCTGAGTGTCTGCTACTTTGATGCTCAAATTGTTCCTCCAGGACCAGATGACACCTAATTGGAATCTAACTACCCAGTGGAAAGAGGGGCACAAGAATAATTTCTGCCAAGGATTTCTTAGATAGGGCACCAAAAGCCCAGACAGCACAGCAAAAAAAAAATTGACAAATGAGACACAAATGACAGGGTGGAAAGATGACCTACGGAAGGAAAGAGGACATCTGCAAGCTAGAGATGTCAAAGAGCTAATGCCCCAAGTGTACAAAGAGCCCCACAACAATATCAATGAAAACAGTCTGACTTCTAACTGGGCAAACAAGTAAAGACATTTCTCCAAAGGACACACAAATGGTCAAGTAGATACAAGAAAACCGTTCGGCATCCGTAATCATCAGCGGGACTGCGATCAAAGCGACAGCGACTATCACCTGACAGTCACTGGACTAGCCACTATCAAAACAGGCAAAAACCGGAGGTGCTGTGTAGTAACGGGACACTGGGAAACTGCACCCTGTGTCTGTTGCACTAAACGGTGCAGCCTCTCTGGAAAACACTGTGGTGGTTCCTCAAACTTCAAAATTAGAATTACCCTGACCCACTAGTGCCACTTCTGGGTATAAATGCAGAACTGAAAGCAGGCCTGCAGACACTCATGCTCACGGGAGCAATATTCATTCGCTATAGGCAAGAGGTGGACAGGACCCAAGCGCCCACCCACAGTGCGTGACTAAACTGTGATGGCTGGTGACAGGTTAGAGGACCGTGTGCAGCCCTACACTGTGTAGAGAGAGCCTTTCCCCCACAAGTTGTCATCTCATCTTCATGAAGGTGCTATGGCACGCACCCCCACACACATAAGTACCCCCCAATGTGACTGATGTTTGAATGTTCATGGGCACACTCACACCTATCTATACACATGTGTGTATGGACAATAGAATGCCATTCAGCATTTTTTTAAAAAGGAAATCTGGCCAGGCCATGGTGGCGAATGCCTTTAATCCCGGCATTTGGGAGGCAGAAGCAGGCAGATCTCTGTGAGCTTGGGACCAGCCTGGTCTACAGTGAGTTCCAGGACACTCAAGGCTGTTTACCCTGTCTCGAAAAAACAAACAAAAAAAACAAACAAACAAACAAAAAAAAAAGAAAACAGAAAGGAAAGGAAAGAAGAAGAAAAAAAGGAAATCTGTCGTATGTTGAAATATGGATGAAATCTGAAGATCTTAAGTGAAATTAAGCTGGCACAGAGTTAAATTCTGTATGATTTCTCTGAGATCGGGTACCTAATTGGTCTAACCTATGAAAAGTGTCAGCAGGGTGAAGGTTAGGGGTTAGTTAGGCAGCAGAGGGTGTAAGATGAAAAAGTAGATACTATGGTGCACAATGTGAAAATGTGGAAATACTTAACACTGCGAAACCGAACACCTAAAAACGATTAGAATAATAAATGTTATGCTGCACTTTTTATAAATAAAATTAACTTTTCTTTTACTGTCTTTTCCTGCCCTAATCCAATGTAACAAAAAGATAAAAGTGAAAAACAGCACAAACAAAAGACTTCAACAATGTAAAAAGAATTAAGAAAACAATCGTCAAACAGACGCCCTGTATTGTTTCCTCTTAATTCTCTTAACCTGGAAATACATTAAACGACAGTAAAATGTCATCCCATCGGCAAGGCGAAATGGTAGTAGTTAAAGGCCATTTGGAGATAAAACTCAGCTTCTATTCTGACTTTGCCACTTACTATACGACCTTGGGCAAGGTATTTTCACTCACTCAGTCACTCACTCACTCATTCATTCATTCATTCATTCATTCGCCAAAGTCTCTGTACATGGGTTAACCTAGGACCGGTCTAGGGAATAAATGAGGGTTATTATACAAAACACTAGGCACAATTCTTGGCGCTTTGTGAGTTTTGTGTTGACTGTTTTACCTCGAAGCCTAGAGAGTTAGGCAATGAATAAGGTGAATTAAAGTAGGGTAAGTCCATACCCCACTCTTCAGCGATTTGCCCAACTTGCGGGTACTTACGGTGTCATTATCAAATCAGACACTAGAAATCATTAGTAACTTCAGCATCCCTATCAAAGTGGAGCGGTCTTGTAAGGGGCTGTCACCCTCTCCCTGGGAAAAGCAGTGTCATCTAAGGTATTGAAGATACTTAAGGAAGAGCTACATACAGAACCCGGGGATGGTGGAGCCCGAGAAGCCACCGAGCGCCGCTCCTGTCACTTCACAGGGGCCTAGGCTCATCTGGGGAGGGGCCCGGTCACCCAGCACCCACGGCGCCCGGCCGGCGTCCCCGAGGGCTGGAGCGGCCGCGGCCCGCGGGGCGGAGGGCGCGGGGGCCGGGGTGGGTCACGGCGGGGGCCGGGGCTCACCGCGCGCGGCCGGCAGCGGGTACAGCTTCTCGGCCTTCTGCAGGAAGCGCTGGGCCTTGTCGCGGTTGCCGGCGCTCAGGGCCTCGCGAGCGATCTGCACGCATTTCTCCGCCTCGTCGCGGTTGCCCTCCATGGCTCGCGCCTGCCTCGGTGTCGGCGGCCGCGCAGCTGCGAGGGGGGCCCGCCGCGGAGGAGGCGAGGCGGGCGCGGCGCGGGGAGGAGCGGGCACCGCGGCGGCGGCGGCCCGGAGACGGGCGGCCTCGCAGCTCCGCCTCCTCACGGCCGCCTCCCCGCCCCCCGCGGCCGCAGCGGCGCCAGCCGCGTCCCTCCCGGGCCTGCCGCGCTCCGGCCCCGGCCAGAGCGGGTGGCGCGCCCCCGGGGAGGGGAGCCGGCGCGACCTCAGGCGCTGCCCCGGAGCCCGCCTTCCGCGCCATCGGGGCGGGGACAGGGGACCCGCACTCTCAGTTCGAGACCCAGGCGCCCGAGGCCCCGCCTCTGGGCCCATTGAGAGGCCTCGGGCCTGTCAGGGAGGGGGCTGCACATTACGAGCTCACCCCCCCCCCTTCCCAGTGGGGGCACTTCTGACCCACACCCCTCCTGGGCCCAGCAGGCGATGCAGCTCTGCTGGTTGGTTAAGTCAGCTGTAACTCTAGCAGGGAGTTTTTCACCTACGTAGGCTGCACTGCACCTCCTGTTCCGTGTTTTGTTTTGCCTCAGGAAGTAGCAGGAATGTTGTCTCAGGAAGGGGAAAGGGGCAAATGCACAGCAATGTATTCTTAAGGAACATGCCTGAGGTTTCTCAAACCCATGTCTTCATGTTATCCCAGTCTGAAAATAGCACTCATCCCTGTGACCAACATTTGTGGACAGCAATGTCTGGTCTCCGTGGAGGCTTTTACTTATACCCCAGGTGTCTCTACCAGTCGGGGCTGTGGAGGCTTTTACTTATACCCCAGGGGTCTCTACGGGTCGGGGATGTTCCACATTGGGATACAGTGCCTTCCACATTACTGTCAAATTGCATGCCTACTTCATTATGACAAAATTGGTTATGACTGGATCTACAAAAGAACTGTTTAATTAGTAAGCAAAGAATGTACTGGAGCTGAATGAGATCTAAGAGACACGTTCATTAAGCAAGTTTAAAACTAGTTTGGGATATGACCTTTATTGAGCTTATCCACCAGAGTGGAAATAATGTCTGTACAAAACCAAATGTTTGTTACTATAACTTCTGCATCACAATTAAAATCCAAACAGTTTTTTAAAAACAGTCAACTCAATCAAAACCCACTACTTCAGAATCAATAGCTTCTTTGAAGCCACAGTAACACTTAAATATGGTTAAGACTCGAATGCAGAAATTTGGTTGGCTGGAAGGCTAATTAAGCCTCCAACTTGCTCAAATAGAATTACAAAAAGGCAAAATTGTGTTTTTCACAGAGATACAGTCCACTGGAATCACCGACACTGGACAGCTGTTAAGAATATTTAGAGTCCTGAGATAATAAGGAATCCAGGCATCCTTAGACAGTCTTCTGTTGTCCTTTCTTCCCAATCAGAGATTTGTGGATGTGTGGGATGACACCTAGGAGAGTGACAAGGATTAATTCTACTTTCTGTAGGAACATTTTAAAACAGCACATAAAATCAAAGTAGGTACATCTACAACTTGAAAGGTCTTTAAAAAAAAAAAAAAAGTTCAAACACAAAGTAAAAACTGAGTGATAGAAGTGTAAACCAAATTTCATAAAGAAGCAATGAAAATTTAAGAGCGTTCTACTTGGAAATTTAACTGAGTTTCAATGATAACATACCACCACCAGCAATTGTAGCCTTGATCAGGGAGTCCAATTCTTCATCCCCACGAATGGCAAGTTGCAAGTGACGAGGGGTAATACGCTTTACCTTTAAGTCTTTTGATGCATTTCCTGCCAACTCTAGTACCTAAAAGGCAAAATTCTGATCAATCTTCCAACTTCCCTGATCCCATGGATCAGTCAAGATCCATGAAGCTGGCTAAACCCCAGTGGTTTTAATCTACCAACTGTCGTCATCCCCCCACTACCTGAATGACAAAATTATGCAAATTATGCAAAGGACTGAAGGGGCACGCAATTGCTTTTGCAAGAGCAGCAAACTCTGGCTCAGCAGGAGCCTTGGCTGAACACTAGCTCCCTCTAGCGCTCTCTCGGCCTCTGCGCCGCGCTTACAGCCTGGGAGTTTTCTTGCATCACTTTCCTCCTTCCCTCTCGCCACTTTCCCCCCCCCCCCCGCCCCCCAAACCTTTCCCAGATCACAGGCACACACACTCCCGCTTACCTCTGCGGTGAGGTACTCCAGGATGGCTGCGCTGTACACAGCTGCGGTCGCGCCCACACGTCCGTGGCTGGTTGTCCTAGATTTCAGGTGTCGATGAATACGGCCCACAGGGAACTGGATTTTTACGCACACAAACAAAAAATGCACAATGATAGGAGATTCGAAGGTGGAAGGATGATGTGCGCGCCAAAGCCAAGGACGGTGGTGCACCCAGGCGCCCCGGCAGCAACACGCGAGCTCGACGTTTCCCCCCCCCAACCCACCCCGCCCCAATCTTCAGCCGCTGAAGGCCAAGTCGCGACACATCACCCACGCAAAGATGGAACACGCATGCAAGGCGCCGACAAACAAGCAAGGGGGTGCAAAGATAAAGGCCGGGCCACCGGGCTGCGGCTGCGGCAGCAGCTGCCTACCTGCAAGCCGGCTCGCTGCGAGCGGGAAACCGCCTTTGTCTTGGCCTTTCCGGAGTCCTTTCCAGCCTTACCGCCAGCCTGCGGCGCCGCCGACGCCCGCGAGCCCGGGAGGGACGGAGAGGATAGAATTACCGAGGCGGCGGGCGCGCCCCTCCCCCACGGCCGCGCGTCCCGGGGCCGAGCGCGCGCTCGCGGCCCGCCGGGGTCTCCGGGCCGCCGCTCGCCCCCGCCCGCTGCCCCCGCCGACCCCGGCCGCGCGCCCGCCGCGGCCGCGCGCCCCCGCGGCGCCGCGCGCGCCCTCCCCAACCGTCGTCGCCTCCCTCCCGGGGGAGCGGCGGGCTCCCCAAACAGCTCCCTCCGCTCGGCCCGACCCTGTCTCCGCACGCTCCCACTCGCCGCCGCCACCGCCGCCGCCTCGCCCCCAGCCCCCGGCGACGGCGGCCCCGCCCGCTCCAAGCCCACAGCCCGCGGCCGCCCGGCCGCCCGGCCGCCGTCGCTCTCTCAACGTTACCATCTCGGACCGCGCTGAAGATCGGACGAGCGAGCAAGAGACGAGGCCAGGCGGACGCACAGCGAGATCCCGGCGCCCACTCCTCCGTCGTACCGCGATTCAAACTGCGCCGTCTCCCGCCTTCCTCGCGCCCTTTATACCGCAGAATGTTCCCTCATCCGGGAACTCGGCTGGCTCGGCCCACCAATGGTTGCCGCCCGCCTTCGGGCCGCGTCCTTGAGGCTCCGGCCAATGGGAGAGCGCGGAGCGGGCCGCTGGGGCGGGCGCTCGCGAGCTCGAGCGCTGATTGGCGCGCGGAGAGCGGCGGCGGGGAGGGGGGCGGAGGGGGAGTGGGGGAGGCGGCGGGACGGGACCGGGCGGAGAAGGGCGCCGCGGCGGGAGGGCAGGGACTGCGCCGCGCCGCCCAGGCCGCGGACGCGGGCGTCACGTGCCTGCGGGGAGGGGCTGAGAGGCCGGGGAGGGGCGCGCTGGCGCCCTCCCCACCGCAGCCCCCCTCCCCGCTCCCCGCGGGGTGGACGGGACCACGTGAGCCCTCCCCCCCCCCCGGGCCAGCCTGGGCCTCGCGGCCTCCCTCCCGTCGGCCTGGCCGTTCCTCTCGGCCGTCCTCGGTCCCCTCCAGGCCCCTGCGTGGTGGTGACAGGTGGCTCGGAGGCCAGCCCCGCGGGAGAGGAGCTCAGGTCGGCCTGCACCTGCCCCGCCGCTTCCCTGATCCACTGTCGCCGCCGCCGCCACCCCCACCCCGAGGTGGTTTCTCATCTTCCTCCACTCCTGTCCTCTCGTGACCGCTCACGCCCCCCCTCCCATCCTGTCTCATCACAACAGTGGGGCCAAGTTACCTTGGTGATAACAAATAATTTTGTCCACACACAGGAAGCTTAGAATGAAGCGTCATTATAATGAAATCATCAGCCGTAATTTTGCAGAGACTCCGCATCAATGGGATGCGCCTATAGCCTAGTGTCCAAAGTTGATTTATTGAAACATCAAAGCTATTATGTGTCAGCTTTCCAACACTAAACATTTTGCCACATGAAAAATGTTGGGTAAATGTCAGTGGGGTAACTGTAACATGATTCACAAGCAGTTACAGATGGTTCATGTAATCAATTACAAATGCTGGACTAAAAAAAAAAAAAAGGGCTGTACACACGGTACTGTCCTGATGCCAGCCACTTAGACATGCAGTTAACAGGTCGACGATGCCTGTGTACATCACTAGCTGCTTGGAGACCAGAATGATCTAAGTCTCTCGTGTTTATGGTACTTAATATGTAACATTTTTAAATAAGAAAAATTATTGGGTGGGTGGGTGCCGGTGCACATGTCTTGACGATTTTGTGGAAATCAGATGACAACTTGTGAAATGGGTTCTCCCTAGATGGGTTGCAGGGATCTCTGTACATGGGTGGCAGGGATGGGACTCAGTCATGCTTGCACAGGACTTTTACCCAGAGTCATACCATTCATCATCAGTCCAACGGCGCTTTACACTTTTTTATGTAATTGAATAGTAATGTGAAGAGAATTTTGAAGCATAAACTACATCACATCGGGCTTCAGTTTGAAAGGTTTTATGAAATTTGAGACCGTCTCTGGTGCCAGGAGATTAATGGCTAGAGGAGAGGCTCCCAACAGTTTTGATGCCAAGCCTTATTGGAACTAAAGAATTATAATGTTGTCATCATATAAATAAAATAAAACTGTGAACCTGCAGTCCCAGCCCTTAGTAGGCTGCATCAAGAGAATCACAAGCAGAAGGCCAGTCTGAACTACACACAGATTCTATTTCAAAAACGTAAGGACTGGTCTGCAGCCCACGTTATTACCGTTACACCATTAATTCTAGCACTAGGGAGGCAGAGGCAGGTTGATCTTAGTGAATTCCAGGGCAGCATGGTCTACACAGTGAGTTCCAAGCTATGTAGTGTTACAGAGTGAGGAAGCCCTGTCTAAAACCCCAAACACAAAACCACAACCAAATACCTCAAAG